GCGTCAACATCAGCTAAATACACCATTCCCGGATGGAGGAAAGGTACTTCCAGAGAAGGGCAGATGAAGATCAGACCACACTTCGGGTACTTAGAAGTTTCGTGATTACTCAAGGGATTGGATCTTGCAAGTCCCCAACCGAGGAGTTTCCCTCACTCGGGAACTTAGGGGAGCACTGTTTGTACCATACTTGACCAATCCCGAAACTACCGAGCACCGGCCAACGCTATACTGTCAAGGACCCAGAAGAGTTCCCTCCGACCAGGAGGCCAATCACTACTCGACACGTGTCAAGATTAGAAGCCAATCAGAGCGCAGCACGTGTCAACATCAAGAACCAATCATAACATGACACATGTCAATGTGACAAAGCTACAAGTTTTTCTATAAATAGGGGTCATTCCCCCACAATATTGCCTAATGCCATTTGTGTTAAATCATTCACAAGAACTCACTAAATTGAGAGCTTGATCCTTTGTACTTGTGTAAGCCCTTCACTACTAATAAGAACTCCTCTACTCCGTGGACGTAGCCAATCTGGGTGAACCACGTACATTCTGTGTTTGCTTCTCTGTCTCTATTCATTTACGTACTTATCCTCACTAGTGACCGAAGCAACCAAGCGAAGGTCATAAAACCTGACACTTTCTGTTGTACCAAAGTCCTCGCTGATTTTGTGCATCAACAAGTTTAATCTATCTTTGATGTTTAAATCACAAATTATGAGTTTTTAATTCCATAAATATAGGTAACTGCAATTACATATTTTTAAATTAAAAAAAATAAGATACATTAACACTAATTTGCTGAGGTGTACATAATTGAAAACCAATAAGGTTTTAATTAAAGAATATTGAAGAGTAAGGACCGCATTCAAAGTCTCTTTTTATTATATATGTATTGTAATTTTTCAAGCACGATGGATTTTCTGTCGTGCTCAATTGAATACCCAGAGGAGGCTTAGTGCTTGGTTTTAGGCTTCTTCACGATCATCACGGTGCTGTGAGCGTGATGGGCGCAGTAGTCGCTGACACTTCCCAGAACTGCCCTGCAACATAATCAAACACAACATTAAGATTTCCACGGATAAGTAACATCATTTTCCATGAAAAACCTCAAGCTCGGCTCAAACTTAATCGCGCGAATTAGCGATGGTTGTTTGTTCCACTTGAAAAGATTAGATTGAGTTAAAGGGAATACCTTTTGATGGCTCCATAGCCATGACTTCCCACAACCAAGATGGATGCGTGGTGTCTTTCAACAGCATCACACAGAACGTTCCTAGCATCTCCTTCCACAACCTCCACAACCACATCGGTCACCTGCAACCATTAGAATATGTAGTGCTCAGAAAAGCTGCTAGCGAGGGCAATTTCTTCGTATCACATCGGTGTGCAATTATTTGGCAGTCTTCTTCAAATCAGCTTCCACGATCGGCAGAATCTCCGCCGCTCCTGCAATTTTAGCACACATGCAAAATAATTAGCTAATCATAATCAACTAAACAATCAAAACAAAGCGACTTCTGCACATTTGTTATTTTCCGCGGCAGTTTATTCCTCTACTTTGCATTGTAGAGGTGCGTGAAAATCACTTCATGTCGCAGTTAGATTCTTACCAGGTCATGTCGCAGTTAGATTCTTACCAGGGCCGGCCAAGCCGACCGTGGCGGAAACCTGGACCTTTGCGTGGACAATGATGAGCTTGAAGGGCGCTTTGTCGCCGCCGAAGGGCTTGAAGAAGTGGTCCAAAGTCCATTCGAGAGCGTACTGGCTCTGCTCGCTCTGGTCCGCCCCGATCACCATCACTTGCTTCTCTGCCGCCATTAATGCTCACCCTTCCCTCTCTAGTTCTTCACCGTCTTTCTTGTGTTCTCGTTTCTCTCTCTAGAAAAGCAGTTTTTTTTGTTAGCGTTTGGAATAAGAGCTTTCTTGCCGGCTATTTATACGAAGGGCTTGTGCTTTCAATGGAATCGGTTCGAACGAGCAAGCTTGCTTGCTTGATTCTTCATACTTGGTACAAACAGCGTAGTCTGATTTGGCGGACATGAATATAGCTTATCTCCTAATCATTCGGGTTACCTCTAGAAAGAAACAACGGGCGGTCAAGGAAAAACAATCACAGATTGGCGGTATTCCTGTTTCTCTGCTATTGGCAATGGATAATTAGTAATTGTTCATTGTTGATTAAGGCTATTAATAGTGTCACTTTTGTTTGGTTAGATTAAGGGCTTGTTTGGAACTATTTTTAAAATGACTGAAAGTGTTTTTGTAAAAATATTTTTGTAACCAATCTTTAGTAAAAGAGGTATTTGTCGATTTGCTTCCCTGAACTTGTATAAAGGTGCCACCCCCCTAAAATTTTATAGATAGCCTATTTACCCCCTAGTGTAAGATTTTAAATTTTTCATCCAATTTTCATCCATCCAATTTTCCATTCTTTTTGCCTATACACAGTTGTCATGTGTTGTCCAATGATCAAAATGGATAAAAAATTGAATGAAAAATTTTAAAATCTAGTGTTAAGGGGGAAATTGACTATTTATAAAAATTTAGGGGGGTTAATTGGCTAAAATTAAAGTTAAATGGGGAAATGGTAAATTATAAAAGTCCAGATCTTAGAAATCTTATCTTGGCCCGACCTGTCTCGTTGCATTTTAAACTGTCCCGGTCCAATCCCTCGAAATTTGGACCCAGCCTGGCCCGTCCTCACTCCTAGCAACAATAGGTTCTAATGGGGCCTGTTTAGATGCTGGTCGTGAGTTATATGCAATTGTTTCTTCATGTTTTTCCTCTTCACGGTTACAATGATACTTTCCATTGCACATTAACCTGACCGCGTTGCATTATTCAGTTGCTGTACTGGCTATGGGGGATATGGCTTGGTCTGCTAATTTCCAATGCACTTGAAATTCGGGTAATCCCTCCATCCTAGGTTATAGAAATTCGAGTATGGTTCACTCTGGTAATCATTCATCATGTTGACATGTTCATCGACGAGCTCGGGATAGGCATCCCTATGCCGGCAGCCCAATAGGTCATGTGTAGGCATGCTGCATATTATACAATTTGTTGTCATAGCTGTAGGTGGTGGCTGCTCTGTAGGTGAGGCAATGTGCTTTAAAATCATGTCAAACTTGGTATCAAAATTTTCAAGCTTCTTCTCCACATTCTCAATTTGAGCCTATACATGGGGAGATCCTAGTGACCTCTCAAAACGACATTTTATGTGTCAATTTAGTTGTCCATTGTTGAGATTCTGCCGCCATAATGCTTCTTTGGCATTTTTGGACATAAACGCACCTCCAGGTGATGCATTAACATAACTTTTGGTAGTTGAAATTTAGTCCATTAAAGAATATATTCATCCATATGTCTTCATCAATGTCGGGGTGGGGATACTTTGTAAAATACTTCTTGCCCTGCTCTCATGCCTCATGAAACTCTTCACGTAGTTTATGAGAAAAAGACAATTTCCCTCTTCATAGCAAAAGTCTTGGAAGCCATAAAGAACTTGACTAGAAATTTTTCATTCAACTGCTTCAGGAGGTATGTTGGCAGATGGAAGTGTAAAGAGCCACACCTTCGCCATTTCATTCAGAGTGTTAGGAAAAACACGAAGTTTGTTAGATTCAAATTCAGTTAAAAATCCCCTACCAAAAGCTAGAAAATTTGCCCAACCACAAATCTACCACGTTTATGGGCCAAACCAGATCCAAAAATGGCCCAAAATATCTTGTTTTAAAGCTTGAGTCACGTAAATATATTTGCATAAGGACGTATCTCCACAAAATGCCATCTTGAACGCCAAAAAGGTCAAATAGTCCTTTATTTATTCTACATAAATTAACCGCTTGGCATAAAAACTTTGACACGAACAAGTTGAAAGACTTGCAAACACCCTCCAATTAGAATCACTTCAAATTCGTCCGTTTGATAACTTTTTGTTCAAGAGGAAGTCACATGTCATATATTTAAACTATAATTAACACAGTCAAATACTAATAACATAGTGAAATGTATAATCGAGTGTGAGACTTAACACACTCACACATGTTGTTACAAAAAAGGAGTGCTATGCTATATGGCCTAATTATCGCCTCGTAAATTTCGTAGTTAGAATTTAAACTGAAAAATTTAGCGGGCCCATGATTCAAAGTCTACTATCTTTAAAATCGGAGGCCACACCTTTTCCCCTTTCACTTTAGGGTTTGTGTTCAAACTCCGCGGAAAACTCCGAAGCTGAAGCCTCGCTCATTCTCTCCCTGCGGGTATTTAAATTCAGCCTCAGTGAGATCGATCTTTTGTATTCACTTTGGATTATGCAACTTGTTGTGTCTTATGCTCGCTTAAAGTTAGCTTTCGTTCATCAGTTTGGACTCCATAGTAATCCAACTGAGTCGAGGGCTATGATTTTCTTGTCATACACGTTTTGGGATATATCTGGAATCCTACACCAGTAGTTTGATGACCACGCCGAGTACCCCAAATTGTTTTTAACTAAAATTGTTAGCATGCGATGCGAGTTTGACATCTAATTCTGTCATGTCTTTGTGGCGGGATTGAATCGTTTGGAACAGTTTTCTGTTTCCATTTATATTCTCATTTTGTTTCAGTAAGTAAGCCTTTGTCTTATCTCGCAGGAACTAAACTTTAATTTGTGAACTTTTAGTTGGGACGGCTTGTCGAATTCTCAAACCAGAATTATGGCTCGTTTTGGTTATTATACTTCCCGTTCACGTTGGGGTTCACGTAGGGGTTCACGTTCGAGTTCCATTTCCACTGGTGAGTAATTACGCTGGGATTTCGATTGTTTAAATATTATGTCAATCTGTGAGATGATTTGTTTGATTAGAATGAAACAGCCTTTCAATCTTTTTTTTATAGTCATTTATGCTTTTTCTTCTTAATTTGCAGTACCCCAATCCACTTACTCTGCTTTATCTGGCAAAAGGAGTAAGTATAAACGGCGCCCTTGTAATTTAGTTTTGTACGCTGCTTGTGCTTGTTTGGGCTTCAATGCCTAGAATAATAATAATTTTCTCGCTATCTAACACGTAATTATTGTAACTAGCTAATAACATGTAATATTTCTATGAGTTAGGTCCTAGTGCCTGTGACGAGGTTGCGGTGAGATATCCAAACGGAGGTTCTACGGTCTTTTATCATTCAAATTTTCGTCCAAGTGCAATTGGTCGTGGCATTTCTGATGATCGATGCCAGTGGTTGCTTCGGGCGGTTGTTGAGGTACTTTCAGTTGCTCGATTAAAAAAAAAAAGGTCTATGTGCTATCTTGTTCTGCTTCTTGTGTTGGTCTTGTCAATCTTTGCATTGGAAAACAGATGCTAGATCATCTGTCTCTACATAAATATTGACTAGTGTTGCATCTCTCTCTCTTTTAATGGCAGCTGAGCCTTTTTGGGGGGCCTGATGACCCGGAGTTTAAGCTTTTCCGAGGTAGCCTATGGAAAGATTGTGGCATTGCGGTGGACGTTGAGAATGGTTCGTCCAAGAATGTTTCGACTTGCACTAGTTGTGCTCAGGATTGAATAAAGATGAAGAATAAATGTGTGATTTTGGAGCTTCGTGCCGACCATTGCGTGTAGTTAGCTTTGTTGATCAAAGTGGTAAATCCACATGCAAAAAGGATTTACTATAGAACCAATTTGCCTTGGATTAAGGTTTTGTTGGGCGCTATCTATGAACTTTACTCATATAATTGAACTTGAAAATATCATTTATCCTTAAGAAAACTAATGAAAAAAACTCAAAAACTTTGAGTTTTAATGATAAGAACAAAATAAGCGTAAAGTTAATAGTAGCAAGATTGACTTTTTAGTGTAAAAATATGATTTTTCATTAAAATAAACAGTACCGACTACCGAGAGCTTTTCATTAAAATTCCCTTTATTCTTCAAGTCGTATTTCATTTCTTTAGTATTATCATATTTTCATGAAACAATGAGCATTAGAAGAAGAATGCATTACCTGCGTAAAATCAACTTTGGTAAAAATTTCAACTTTTTGCTTAAAGGGAAACAGGCATTTGGCCTTGGTTGTTTATTTATGAGCAATTGTTTGGTGGTCGTACACACATTTGGCTCACTAATGAGTAAAGGATAATGGCGTTGAGAAAGAAAAAGGGGTGTATGATGAGCAATTGAGCAAATTCTTGCAAGCTTTTAAGGCAAAGTTTTACCAAGGTCCTCGTTACTACCGACTCCTGCAATTTGCGACAACAGTCAGATGGTGTTGTTCCTACACCAGTACCCATGCTGGTTCAAGCAATAACTAGTTCATTAGTTGGCTACTTGAGGAACAAAAGCAGGTCCATATTCATAGCCTCTAAGGCCACCACCACACAAGGAAGCAGCTATTTCCTGACGGTTCATATGAAACTTCAGTGCAATCCCCAGAGGATATGAAGAGCTCCTAGTACATCTGCTGACCAAATTTATGTCTTTGTGTATTGCTCAGTGGTTTTACAAGTGCCTAAACAAACAGCAATTACATTTCGTGAGCAAACTGCTACCGTACAACAAAGTGTTTTAAATTAACACACTCCCTTACCAGGTCACCAGGTCTTGTGCAAGCTTTGTTATTTGCGTATCCGAATCAGGAAATATTACCCGATAAGCAAGGACAGCCTCCGCAAACTCACCAACACAAGTCTAAACTGAGTGCAAATACGTCAGTCTTCATCAGCACAGTTATGAGTTACAGACATCAAAGAGAAAGAGGGAGGGTATATGTAACAAAGCAGAGAGCAACCATGAAGCACAAGGGTGTTCCAACTTTCTCTTTTCACTTTGTTTTATTTCTGAGATATATTTTGAATTTCTACTACTCTGATTTATATGATTATGTTCTTATCACTTCCAAGTTTTGTACTAGTTGTTTGACACGATAAGCAGTGCAGCTATTT